TGGGTGTGTGTGTGTGTGTGTGTGTGTCCCTCAGCCAGGCCTATGCCTTCTCACAATCGGGGACCCCTCGGGGAAACAGGGAGCAGGCCTAAGCCAGCAGTCAGACATCTCTCTTGCAGTCTGGGGCTCTCGCAGTCCAGGACCCCTTGCTCATTACCTCCCGCCTGCAGCAGAGGCAGGAGAGGCTCCCATCACCGCCGCTGTGCTCGCCAGCCATGAACCCAGCTTCTGGCTGAGTGGCACTCCCCCTGTGGGAGCACACTGACCACCATGGGGCAGTTCCTGCATTGAGTGTCTGCCCCCTGGTGGTCAGTGCACGTCATAGTGACTGGTCATTCCACCATTCAGTCTATTAGCATATTAGCCTTTTATTATATAGGATAATGTGGATTATAGACTATTTAGTATTAGAAGCAAAATGACTAAATGCTCCAGTAAAAAAATACCCATAAATATTGTCAAATTGGATAAAAATTAAAATCTAATATATAATCCTGCTAGAAGAAGCATTCTAAAACATAAAAATAGGTACAGTTTGAGGTAAAAGAGTGGAATAAAATACACAATTAAAAATGGTGTGAATCAAATATCAAAGGCTCAAATTATATAAAGCAAAAATAGACATAACTAAGAGAACTAGAAAAATCCACAATCATAGTAGATTTTATTATACCTCTCACAATAGTATATAACATGTAAACTATAATAATTACTTCTACATATTGCTACATATTTCTTTTGGATAAACTACAACTACCAATATCATCCAGAGAGAAAAGGGTTAAGATTAATTTAGCCCTACCTTTTCTTATATCCTCTGCTATCAACAGAAGGGTTGGCTTCCTCAATTTCAAATTTAAAAATAAGATAGGTCTCTTATTGCCAACTAGAAGGTGGTGAAGTCATCAATTTCAAGTCAATGACAAGGATTCAGAATATACAAAATCTTTCTGTTCTGACTAAGTTAGCCTCACAAACAAATCTCTGGCAAATAGCATGGAGAGAGGAAAATAAACTGTTCACTTTTGGGGAAAAGGGATGGACATATTTGGAAAACCCACAGAATCACTCATGCCTACATTATTTAAGCCAATATCCACTCCAGGAGAACATCTTAAAATTAGAAGTTATTACTCTCACCACATATATATCAACATAACATATGTAATAAGTAAAATATAGACTGTACTTACCATTTCCATTAATAGACAGATTATGGGTCTTGAAATTGTCCTCAGCATTTTCCAAGGTCAGTGTAGCATGAGCTAGCAAATTATACTTCGCACCACTGAAAGCGAGGAGGAGACATGTTTTCAGTACTCTGGTATAATTCCTACTGCATAAAATATTTAGATGTTCAAAAACAACAAAAAATAAACCTGACTAAAAAATGGGCAAAGGACTTGAATAGACATTTCTCTAAAAAGAGATATGATGGCCAATAAAGACATGAAAAGATGCTTAAGACCACTAGTGATCAGGAAAATGCAACCCAAAACTTCAATGAGATAACACTTCAAAGCCACTAGGATAGCTATTGCTAAAAAAAAACAAAACAAAAAAAAACAAAGAAAAATAGAAAATAACAAATGTTGGCCAGAATGTAGACAAATTGGAACCTTTGTACAGTGGTGATGGTAATATAAAATGCTGTAACCATTATGGAAGACAGTATCATGGTTCCTCAAGAGATATAGAATTACCATATAATCCAACAATTCTACTTGTGGTATATACCCCAAAGAACTGAAAGTAGAGACTCCAATAGATATATGTAAACCCATGAAAAAGCAGCCAAATCGTGGAAGAAGCCCAAGTGTCCATTCAAGGGTGAATGGATAAACAAATGTATGTACATGCAATAGAAAATTATTTGGCCTTAAAAAGGAAGACAATTCTAACACAGACTACAGCATGGATGAAATGCAAAGACATTATGTTAAGTGAAATAAATCAGTCACGAAGGACAAATACTGTATGATTCCACTTATATGAGGTAGGTAGAAAAGTCAAATTCAGAGGCAGAAAGTAGATTTCCAGGGGCTGAGTGGAGGGAGAAGCAGGGTGCTATTGTTTAATGGTACAGAGTTTTAGTTTAGGAAAATAAAGAAGTTCTGGAGATGAATGGTGGTGATGGTTGCACAACATTGTGTATATACTTAATGCCACTGATTTATATACTTAAAAATGGTTAAAATTGTACATTTTATTTTATGTATTTTTACCAAAATGAAAAAAACACACATTTAGATGTTATGAATGACAGGCTAAAGTTAACATAAATGATTAATCCTCTTTACCTCTTTATGCTATTTTATCATAAGAAAACCTGAAAATTATTTGGTTTACTTTACAAATGTTTCTTCAGAAGGATCTCTATTCATTCAAAAATATTAACTGAACACTGAATATTTGCCAAGTCTTATGTAAGGTGACGATAAACAAGACTCAATATTATATTCTGGTGCAGAAGGGGGGGGGAGTAGAGGGATAAATCAAATATTGGCATTTGAAAGCTATAATGCAACTCTTTTTTGTTTTTTGAAAGAAACAAAAGGTATGAGAATACTGAGGAGCTATGCTAGATAGGGGAATTTGGAAAAGATTCTCTGAAGAGCTAACAGTTATGAATAAAAGGATGGAGACAAGCAAAGAATGCAGAAAAGCATTCTAAGCAGAGAGGACAGCGTGTGCAAAGAGAGGCTGAAAAAACATGAGTGTGACTGAAGCATAGCAAGCAGGTGGCAAACACGGTACAACACAGGGTTAGAACTACAGGCAGGGGTTAGCTCACCTAAGGCTGTGAGCCTTAGAAGAAGGGTGGGTTTAATTCCAAGTGTAATGGGAAGTCATTGGAGAAGGTTAATAAGAAGGGTAGTGATGGAATCTGATTCATATTTATTTCTTGGGGAAGGAATAAATCTCCTTCTGGTTTATCAACTTTAAAGATTTGGAATTTTTATCTATAGTATCAGGAAATGGGGGATTTCATTACTAATCCTATTTTTTTTATTATGTTAAAGTAGCGCTATTGCCAAGGCATCTGAACTTTTTGATGATACATTTCATATCCTGACACTCTGTGATGATAAAAAATGAATTTTTGTTTCAAATAATTGTATTTTCTGTGCTAGCAATTTAAATTTAAAACTTTTCATGACTTTTTAATTTTCCAAAATAAAACATTCAAAACATTAAGGAGCATGTTGTTAAAAAGAAAAAGAGGACAGGTAGATGGACAGACAGAAATATAGATGAACTTTGGAGAAAAAGAGAGAAGTCTGAAGGAAATTTTTATTAATTGTGCCAGGTTATATGTTTCATAAACCTTCTTTGTCTCTTACTAAATCTTTAATAAAATCTCTATTACAAAGAAAAATTTGTATACATGTAGTAAGTATGCAATGCATGTGCTTCGTTAGTAAATAATGCTATACCCCACAGAATGTTACTCACTTTGAGAACACCTCGTTTTTTGTTTTTCCAGTTATATTGAGAAATAACTGACATACATTGCTGTATAAAGCATACAGCATGATAAGTTAGTTTATCTTGATCTTAATATGCAACCATCATAAACCAGAGATATCTGTTTCCTGTCTCCAAAACTTTTTTTTAACAAAACAATGCGTGAGTAAAGTTCAAGTTACATTCTGAATATAGTAACTGGTATAATGTCAGACTCATATGCACAATTTTGGAAAAGTTCATTAAGTATCAACAAATCTCCACTGTTGCTAGAGCTAAGAGGCACCAGCCTTATACTCCAAGAGTGGCCATTCTCTCCTGATTTTACCCTGAACAAATATCTACAGTGCCTTTCATAATTAGCTCTTATTTTTCCCTAGTGTTAGACAATGAGTCCCCCGGCCCCCCTAGCCCCATTCGGAAAAAAAAAAGGTTTAAGGAAGTATTAAAGAAAACTGTGGATAAAACAATAAAGCAATTGAGAATGGCAATTACAATGAAAAAGCAAATATTACTACACACAAACTGACTATTAACAATCATATTAGCTGTTTGGTGATCAGGGTGCATGTAATATTTTAAGAATTATTTCAACATGATGTCATTGATATATAGATATTATGGAACTACATTATCATTTTTCCCACTTAAAACAATGGGAAATAGGCTCTCCGTTAGCATAGTACAGAATATGCTATTTTCAGGAAAGAGGTTATTGACAATAGGTGGATAACTACTGCAAGAGAGTGATGCCAGGTGTGTGTGACAAGAGGCTAGTGTGTGGAGTACAGTGAGGGAGAGGGAGGAGATGTCCAAAGGTAAGTGGGAGACAGACACTGTGCACTACAGTGCCTTGTAGGGCATGACGAGAACACTGGATTTTATTCTGAGTGAAATGGGAAGCAAATGGTAGGTTTTGAGCTATGCGCTATCATCTGACTTGTATATTTGATCCCTCTGGCTGCAGTATGGAGAACAGACCACAAAGGCCAAGAGAGTGAAAATAGAGATGCCAACTAGAAAGCTACTGCAATTGACCAGTCAAGAGCTGATGCAGGTCTGGAGTAGGGTGGTGAGAAATGGTAAGATTCTTGATATATTCTTAAAGTTCATGCAATGTGGACATCTGGTGAATGCAAAAGAAAGTAAATAGTCAAGGACAACTCCAAGGCTTTTGGCCTGAGCAACTAGAAAAATGGAAATGAGGCTGACTATGAGAAGAATAGACATGGGAAGTACGAATTTAGTTTTGTATAAGTTAAGTTTGAGGTTTTTTTTTTAGATACCTATTTGGTAAAAAGGGTAGGCAGCTGGATATGTGACTCTGAAGTTAGGAAAGGGAAACATATTGGAGAATTAAATTGGGAAGTTACCAGTATATAGATAAAATTTAATGAAAATAAGTTAAATATTTAAGTCCAAGTTTTGGTGTTGTTGTTTTTTTTAAGTCAGTGCATCTTTTTTTCAAGTAAATAATTATTCTCAATTTTACCAGTTCTCACAAAATGATTGTTTAAAATGATGTATATTTATTTGCACATTGAAAAAGAATGTACTAAGTACTTCTTAAGGAGCATAAAGTAAGTTAATTCAGCTATTAGAGGCACTGGGAAAATCTAGCTCAAGGAATTTCAATGAGCTAAATTCCACAAATAAAATGAATAAATGAAATCACATGAGGGAGCAAGCTAAAAATTACCAAAAATGTTCACTGTCTTCTTTTAGATCAAACAATACTTTCTGATGATATTTCAAGTTACTTCATTTTTAAACCATGACTAATTACAATGGTAATGCTTCCAAAACCAACAATGATCTCACTCTTAAAACATTCTTGTCAGGATAACATTTTCTTACTAAAACATTACACTCATTCATTTTAGCCAATTCTAATATTGAGTTCCCCAAAGTTTAATCAGCTATATTTTTAAATCAAATAGGCCAATTGTTATAAGATTGAGGGGCTATCCAAAAATGTTATAAAAAAATAAATCACTACTTTAAACGGTAGTCTGAAAAAAAATGCACTTTTTTCAGGAAGAACAGCTATATTTGATCAATGTCATATTTCCAGAGAAAATATATATTGCCCAAATTTGATCTTTTGTGCTCATTTTGGCTGAAAATTAAAAGCTATACTAGGAATGTTTGCAGTGATCTTGAACTAGATCACTTTTGGTGTGGCTCATTGATTAGAGTGTCAGCCCACGCACTGAAGGGACTTGGGTTTGATTCCTGATCAAGGGCACGTACCTGGGTTGCAGGTGCGCTCCCCACCCCCTGGTTGATGTGTCTCTGTCTCTTTCCCCCTCCCTCCATCCCTTTGACTCTCTATGAAAAGCAATGGAAAAAATATCCTCTGGTGAGGATTAACAAAAAAATTAAAATAAAATGAAATTGATCTCCTATGCATTCTGATTACTAACGAGATTCTCAACCTCTTATGGTGCTGAAGTGGTCAGTTGAGGAAGTATCAGGTGGGTGCAGCCCTGGGCCATGAGTTTAACCTCGTGTACTCTGGATTCACACCAGAAGTGCAATAGGATGCTGAAATTAAAAGAATATGATTTGGTGAAATGTAAAAGGTTTTATTCTATCTTTTGACCAACTTTAATGGTGTAAATAAACATATGGCATGCAAGTTTCATAAAGACAATTACTGTTTGGATTCAGGTATAAATCAAGTGGAATGACAACTCTAAGTAGAAGGAACACTTCAAAACAAATATGACAATCCCAACTAAAAAGCACTTTTACCAAATAATTTTATTTTCAAAAATTCCTCTAGGCTTAGAAGAGGAATATAGTTTAAATACAAGTTCTAACATTACTGAGATTATCTTCTATGAAATTATAAACAATGATTTTAAATTTTAAAATATCTGTCTATATTTTTTATTCCTATGTCAAGTTTCTAACTGCAATGCTTCAGCATGAGTTTGAAAAAATAGTTCAGAAAAAGCACTGCTCTCAGAACAGTAAAAAGAGTAACAATAATGGTAAGAGCTACATTTATTAAATGCTTACTAAGTACCAAGTTTATGATTTATCTTTTGGAATCTCATAATGATCCTGTGGAGTTAGGTATAATTACATTATTATCTTGATTCCCATTTACAAAGGGATTACAGATGGGTAAATTAAAGCACCTTTCAGCAAATACCAGTACTTGACATAATCTTAACCTAGAAGACTTTTCAAATGGCCTTAATTCTAAAGGAAGAAAATTTAAGGGCCCCTTTCTTCTTTTTTAATGATATTTATAATAGGAAAGACTTACATCTTCTATGACTATTTTTGTGTGGATGGGACCAAGTTATGGATTATGAAATCAATTTAATAATTCATAAACAGCATTTTTTAAAACTGAAAATAACTAGAATTATAATATAATATAATTA